AWMAWAAAAAAARAAAGAAATAATTTAATCATATAACACAATTAAACAGGTAAATTAACATTGAAGAACTTATACATAAAAATGGTAAGCACTTGCAGGTAAGTAGTAATGTGTTTATATTTTTTAATGATATACCAGTGGAACATTATCCCCAATACAAACRAAGACCCTCTGAAATAGTAAAAATGCAGAACCTGCTGTCATTCTTAAGCTATATTATTCTCTTGTAACACTGTGGGCAATTCTTTGACTTGCTAATAATGCATAACTATCATTAGAACTGGAGCTGACAGTTGTCCTCTTTCTGAAATATCTCTTTGTAACTACACAAATGCTGCTCTAATTCTAATTTTTTCTAATTCTAAAATTCTGATAAAAATGGAAAAGAGGCTTTGAACAAAGTGGGGAAAAGGTGATAAATGATAACATATTAATTAATGTACTTGATTAGGAACACTATTTCCTTTTATTCTTATACTACACTGCTACTGTTCTGTGTCCTACAAAACCAATCTCGAACATTTCTCCCATACACAGACCTCAGGTCACATGTGCGATAAAATTTTGCCTTTATACTGTCACAGTGAGCTTCAGCAGTCAATTGAACACAATATTGTCTCCAGCCATTGCTACTTTTTTTTTTATTGGTAATGAACCTTTTTTTATATAATTGAGTTGCTGTTTGAATTAAGTCTCTTAATTAAGTAAAAACAGATTTTTGCATCAATTTGGTATTATATGTCTATATCAGTAAAGAAGTAGAAGAAATAAAGARTTGATGAGAGTTTGAAACTAGTTTTCATGTGCTGTTCATCCATGGTTGCACAAAAAAACTTCCTCTCTCTGAAACTAAATCAGAATAGGGGGAAAAAAAGCAAATAAGAGCAGGTAGGATGTGAATAGAATGATTTTGAAGCATTCACTTTTTTTTTTCATATGTGTTTACTAAGTGTCTGCATAAATAAGTAACACAATCTGAGCATTGAGTAATTTCAGGAGATTAGTGACAAATGGGCACAAGTTGATTATTCAAGATAAAGCTGAGGGTCATTATCCTCAGCTGGTCATTAATCCCCATGAAATGATTGGTATTGAGATAGTAATTACTATTATAATGAAAATGAAAAAAGAAGCATGACATTTTTCTGATGAGGCTGTCTCTCAGTTTCTAAAGAATTAATGTTTCTTTCATTATCCAATCAAGTACTTGAATCATTTTTAACCCATTATACAGTTTATTCATTTTATACAATTTTCACGCCATCTCCTCACTTAAGATTCGGTGTCCTGTCATAAATATTCGGACATACACACACACAAACACTCTAAAAAAAAAAAGAAAAAGAAAAGAAAATGTATTAAATGTATTTCAAAAATCTTTTCTGTATAAAGCCCRCTTTATAATGAGGTAGGAGACTTCATTATTACACTACATGCAGTCAAGCTACTTATTCTGTATTTAACAGGAATCCACATGAATCCMTTGTCCAAAACCAGAATTCATCTTGTAGCTTTACAACATACGGAGCCAATATTGTTAAGTCACATTGTTCAGAATCCATCAAGAAACTGGCCGTACAGCTTTAAAAATTATGTAACTTTACATACTTTTCTGTAAATTACAGAAAAAGCTTTAAAAATTACGTAACTTTAAAAATAAATTTTGTAGTATTCTGGTGTGCCTTCCGAGGTTTCTTTGGAGTTCATTCTTTCACTCCTCTATCAGAAGAGCTGAAATTTGTTATTGGCAAGAGGGAAGGCAATTCATTTTCCCCCTAGAAATACTATTATTCTTTGTTTCTTTTTCGAGAGCCTCACACAGGTTGCCTCATTCCAGCTTCCCATCCTCGAAATTGCAGACCTCAATCCAGAGTGAAAGCATTTTAAATAAGCTAGGAAAGTTAAAAATAGGAGTGCTGCCCTGCTACATGTTCCTAATACCAACAAGATACAGATACATATTACACCTATCCTTTTTTTTTTTTTTTTTAATCCCAAATCCTTCCTTGCAAATACTTTTCTAAGAAAGGGATCCCAGAAAAAACACAGGATGCACTGAGTTTTTGCTGGAAAAATTTGCAGTTGTTTCTGAAATGGTTCACTGTGTATAACAGAGAGGAAGTGGAGTAAAGCTCATAACAGCTTAAGGCAGAAATGGCTGTTAGGATGTTAATCTGCAGGCTGCAGATCAAGTTCTGTGTACTAGAATAAAGCCAAATAACAGTGGACACTGATAAATGGCTTGGACTGCAGCTTGGGAGAGTGATTTGTCCTTTTGGCTTGCTTAAGCTGTTTGGAGAGTTTGAGGCGAAACCTAATGATGCATGTCTGCTAGCCAAATGAATCATTGGATACTGGACAGTTATCAAAATTGAACTGTTTGGTTGTTTGGACAGAGTCTTAGGAAAAAAAAAAAAAAAAAAAAAAAGAAAGAAAAAAAAAAGCCTAAGTTCTGAAAGCTCTAAGTCGCATTGAGCTGAGAATAGTTTAGAAGACATGGTAGGTCTTCTGGAAATTGAGAAGGATGTTTTTGACAGTCAAGGTCAAAGTACGTGTTTCAAAACATTTTCTGAAACAGGGAAAAAAACAAGGAAAAAAAYATATAACTATCTGGGAGCAGAACATGGACCGGAAAAGGAGTAATATAATAGTGACAGGAGAACTGACTGTAATCATGCATCACACCAGATAATAGGATGCAATAGTGTGGTGAAAAATTGAGGGCACGTCTTGCTASCAGTGACAGCTCAACAACCAGCCGGCTATTGTTATGTGCCAGCTAATGCCAGGACGTGTTAGAATAACACACAGGCAGTGGAGTGGGTCAAAGCCTCATACAGCTGCTACATGCACAAGCAAGAAACRGAAAAAAAAAGGTCAAATTTAGGTAACATGCTTTGAAAGAGTAGGAGATTTTACTCCATTCCTTTCACCCTGTTCAGAGTCAGTTTTGGCTTTGCTACGAGTCCCATGAATGAAGCACAAATGAGCACTGCTGAGGAACCAACATGACTCAGGGGAGCCACAATTTGACTTCCACTGKTTTTTTTTTGCTCGTGAGAAAATCAAATACATCACAGAGCACATCCACCTAAGCCAACAACAGCGCTGAAGATTGCCCAGACTTCCTTAGCCTTTATGTATGTGAGGAAATCTACCGATCCAGCTTATTCTTTTTTTCCAGTTTCTTCCTGCAGGATAGACATGGCATAGAGAAGAAGTAACTTATACTACACTGTCCTCCCGTGTCTCTATGAAAAATGGCCTCTTATATCTCCTCTAAAATGAAACTTCCAAAAAAATGAARGAAAATCTTTATGATTCTGAAGAACAATTGCACTGGAGGAAATCCCAGAACAGATTTCTGGGAAATCCCAGAAAAAGCAGCAGTTAGAAACAAGTAGTGCTACTAGAAAACATAGAATATTAATTATTTTACTGCTTATTCTCCTGTGCATTTATGTCATATTTGTATGTTACATGTTGAAAATTCTAGCATATTTTATCATAATCTTTAAGCACTCTATGCATTTCCATTGATATCTCATTTCTGTACTAGAGTGTAGAAGACTCATGCCCACATTCAGTATTCTGCTCAGTTATATTAATTGCAATAAGATGCTTCTTTCCAGGCTACTTAGGAGTTAAAAGCCTGAACAAAGACAATACACTTACACATTTACAAAAAGGCCCGCAACATCTTGAAGTTAACAGTGAGAGCTTTTTTCATAATTTTATCAYAAATTGTTCACTATTTAATATGTTTCCTACAGCTCCCAATCGTGGGAGCATTTGACTAAGACAAAAATTTTGACTATTTGAGAATACTTAAAAATAAAATTGTCAGACCTCATGGCTGCAAAAATGATCTCTGAAGAAGTGTGATCTAAAGTTTCACAGAAAAAAAAACTTTATTTTTTCCCTTGTCCTTTTGTGTTAGCAACCACTTTTTCTGTCTTTTCTGGTGTACTCATTTTACTAAATACATCAGTTTAACACTTTCAGATGTGTAACAACAAAGTATTACAACATGTCTCATTTAAAATGAGCAGGATGACCTCTTTTTCAACTATGGCTTTATATGGAAAAAAATTTGAGGAAATTGCTGCCAAGCTTGTCTTGTTATTTGAGTGAGGAAACCATGCGGCCAAAGCGGCTCAGATGAGCTAATGTGTCCCAAATCAATTTCTTCCAGTCCATGCATCTATGGTGTTATAATGAAAAGTGTATTGCACTAAGTTTAAACTGAAATTGCAATTCCAAAATCAGAAAAAAAATACATTTCTTTAACATACCATAATTTAATTTTTCATTTTTAAATTAAACACTTGGACTCACCTGTTAGAAGAGAAATTGTAATAACCAGTTTCTTCTAAAACCTCTTCAATTAGAGTCTATAAGTCAAAGGAAATTTACTTCAGTAAAATTATCTTGAGCAACAAAATAAGATTATACCTTAAAATATATAAAAAACTTACCTGCAACTGTTCGTATGTCATCCCTTCTGCTGTGTCAGCAGTGCCAACAATACCTTAAAGGCAAGTAATGATATACTTCTCAAATCTGTGTCCGGGTACTCTGTTTCATTTTCCCAGTACTTCCAAAGCAAACATATCAACAACAGAGAAACTTATTTAACAAGAAGTTAACTTTGATTAGCCACAGTTTATTGTACTGACCACAATGACTCCTAGTAAATACGAGTCGGGTCTTATGRTATGATGTGAACACTTGAGGGACAGTCATTACATTATGAACGAAAGTTATAACTGATGGAAAAGTATTGATTTTTTTGGAAATATTTAATGTGAAAGAACATAATAGCGCATCATTTTGCTATACTCCCCACTTACTACTTGTAGTGGAAGGGCCACACAAACAGTGGCAAATTATACACGAAACAAACACAAAACACGAAAGGATTATTTGCTCATTAAAAGATCAAAAAAATACAGAAAGTGACCATTTGATCAACTGCATGGTTGTTTCAGGGAACAAAATAAAGTTTACATTTCAAGTGACTATTAGGAGCTTGTTTCTCTCTCAAATATCAACCTTGACAGATGGTATTCAGTTCTGTTTTTACAATAAGCTGTCGAAGTGATATGCCAGCTTCAACCCAAAGGCCAGCAAAAGAAAAGATTTCCATCGTCCTTTCAGTAACCCCTGTTTCTAATCTTTGTATGTCCTCTAGCCTATGAATTGCAAACATAACTTTTCTTGCACTTAGAAGAATGAAAATGACAAAATACAAGCCGCGCATTTCGCTGAAGTCCCTTCAAAATTCTCTTGCTTTTATTGCACAAAGAGATATATTATCAAACAGATCTCTGGTTTCACTAAAGATGGAGTTYATGATTTGTCACTGTATGTATTTCTTTTTTTCTGATGCTGAATTAGATATGTAATTAAATAATTACAGCATACATAAGTTCTAAATATAAGAACAACATAGAGCTTATATACAGTTTATTTAAAAAACATGTGAAAGAGCAGGCAAGTTCTAAGCAGGACATTTGTAGTCATAAACATTCCTGTTGACTTTTATAAGAAAAATGTTCCATTGGTATCTTTCATAACTCAAAAATATACTCTTTTATACTATCAGAATGTTCCACCTGCACCTAAACTGCACCAGGAAGAGAAAAAAGAAAACAAACCTACAGATACCAAAAACCAGTACAGCCAACACAAAACCATGTCCGTCAAGTAGGAGTTCCTTCCACTTTAGTCCCATTTCCTTATTAGAAAAATATATGCCATGATAGAGGTTCTGATGCTTTCTTTTACCTTTTCTATCATCAGGAGCCAATATATTTCTGCTTGAAGAGAGAAGTAACACATGGCAATCTGCTGTAAAGAAGTTGGGCTCAATCAGTTCAGGAGAACCTTGGAGCAGCTGTAGCAGGGAAGAAAGAAAAAAAGAGCATATCAGAAATGCCTGCTCTTTTTTGCCTAAACCTTGGATATCTGTAAGGAATCTAGAGTTTCCTATGTTTCCCACCAGAGTCAGAGGTCAAACGAGATTTCAGTACATGTTAGATTAATGAAAAGTGGTGAACACAATTGCGAGTGCTGTACCTTCTCTGTAGAGACATTTACAGAACAAGCTGCCAAACTGCACTTGGTATAAAGCAGAGAGTTCTTCGGTTTATCTCAATAAAATATCATAAGCTACACATTGGTGTGAAGGCAGTCTGTTCCCTCAAATCTAAGAGAGAAACAGTCAATGACTTTGGTTTTCAAAACTGGGTCTCAAGTGAAATTTAGTGCATATTCAAGCAGTATAATTTCTGTTAGTGAGACCCCAGCACTGCTGAAAGCGGAAGGTCTGTTCAGCTACTTGATTACCTGAACTGCTTCTTGATCATCTGACGCCAAACTTTTAAACATCTAGATTTGAAAATATTCTSTGCTACAACTTTGAAATGAAAATATTTTTTTAGGCAAGAAAGAATTTTCAGTTGTGCATTTCGACAACATATTTAAACTTTTCATTCAGGGACTTATTTAGTTGGCTTTCACTCATTAAAATATGTATCATTTACTTACTGATGTTAAACTACTCCTCGTCCTTCTAACTTTGTTTTTTTGTTGTTGTTGTTGTTGTCATCTTTAAGCAATTTGTATTAAATACCTTCTTCAAGATAGAAATGCCCAAAATGGCACTAAGCATTTCAAATGTCTTCAATTTACTATGATTTACTTTTTAAATGTAGCATTTCTTCCCTTTTCTTCAGGTTTAAGACTGACGGTTTTGAAGTTAACATAATTTTAGAGTTAATAATATTACCAAGTCTTAAATAAAAAAGATTATTTATGGGCATCTGTGAAATTAGGGTAATTTTTTAATAAGCATTTCTTTTATCTTATTTTTGGGCACCCTACCCCAGAAATATCTATTCAGTAAATGAATAGAAAACATCTCGTTAGACATAATGTTATGTTTGAAATACAGGAATTGTTTAATGTAAATCCCAGCTTGATTTACTGATAGCTAATTGGCAGGAAACTGATGCCTTGGAGGAAGATTACTCATCTTTTAAGTGTCTTTCAAAGGCATTACCTATGTAAACACTGAATGGTGGCTACCTTCCATGAAGTTTTACTGTCTCAGATAAACTATGAAAGTAGACATTAAGCTATGAATGGCCTTACTCCATCCAATAGCAAGCAATGACTTATAAGAGTCCACATTTCAAAGTAAGTTTGGTTAGGCAGAGGAAGGACTTGAATTTCCATCTCTCATATCCCACGGGATATTGAAAATGATATTTGTCATCAAATTTTGGATACACTAGTGTACCTATTAACTGCTTTGTCATCAGTCCAAGAGTGAAATATCGAAGCTTCACATTCTCCTCAGCACCCAGATGCTGAAGATGTCATTTTCAAATCCTTTATTGAGTACAGTCCTCTCAGGAGATTTTGAAGAAGGAACATTTAGAAACTCTAATATTAGCCATGAAGGGCTCTTTCTGTGTTGGAAAGCATCCAACATGTCGCTGGAAAACCGGCACGCATGGTTCTTCAGTCTTCCAATTCTTGCAAATCTGTGATATTTTTAAAGTCAAGACACTAAATTGCTGCTGACACACTATTCAACAATTGGACAAGATATTCTATGCTCAAGACACTTTGGTCAGCTTAAGTGTTTTCACAGTTTGATAGGAAGACATTTCAAATCAAGAGAAATAATAGCAAGCTAATAATAAATTAGGAGCAGTTTGTATAAATTAAGATAAGCTTACATAATCTTTTGCAGTYTTTTACCACAGAAATAACCCTTTAGCACAGAAAGTTACATTTTCTTTTCTTTCTCTGAGCTCTGATGAGATGGATTTTGGTTTGAATATTGGCAGCTAGTTGAACCTTTGCATTTACAACATGTTTTAACGATCAAAGACCCACTTGAAACAAATCACTATTAACTACTTACCTARGAAGACTCCATAATTTTCCAAATAAACAATGGTCAGAGCGTATGCTAAATATTCCCTTTTAAAAATTGGGAATATATACTTCTTTTTTTGTGATATTACTACTGATGGGTTAATTTAAATAGAAGAGAGAAAATCTGCCACTGATAATAAAATAGGTGTACTGTACCTTTCTCATTTCTGATTTCAGGTTACAGGGATTGCTCTGCTGACTGAAGAGGGACTTCTTGAATCTCTCAATGACTCTCCTTTTCAAGTTGCACTGCAAGGCTGGAGGAAGCTAAATGAGACAGAGAATGTGACGTTATTTTATCACTGCGCAATTACRTCTCCTGTGAAGACAATTTGGTCACCAGCACCAGTACTGAAAAAAAAGTAATTAATACTGCAAAAAAAGCCATATTGATATTCAATAGTACAGAGATAAACAACAGTACAAAATGTTTTCTAATGGCATATAATAGTGATGGCTGTTAGTTTACCCATTCTATTAGGACTGGCACACCTTATATCTTAGCCACTCTAGCCATGAAGGAAAACATCGTTATACTGGTGTGGGGCAGGAAAAAGTCATAATATAGGTAAAACTAGATTTGCCTCCCTCACCAAAGTGATCAACCAGTGACCAAGGATGTTTCTCTGTGGATGGAACCCAAGAGAAAACAGTAGACTCTACACAGAAAGTTAGGGTAGATTTTATGTTAGTTACTTTGAGTTACTCTGGATGAAATTAATTGAACTACAAGAGTCTAAGACCTTTCCAAATGCATGTAGAAATTAATGTGACCTTTCCTCATGATTTCAAAGAGCTTTCTGAGGACTGTATGTATATCTTAATACAATACAGCCCAGTTATTTTACCAGAAGTTTCCTCTGGGAGGTAACTTACATTTCATTTGACTATAAGCTATATAGAAAATCCAATTTGGTATAATTTTTCTTCCATATTTTGAGGCTAAAAATACACATCTCTATTGTATTTACAAAAGGAAAGCACACAGCATACTTGAGTTTTAAAAAGTCATCTATAGGCAGTTCAAAGGAGCTCTCTTTTTTTGCTCTTTGAGTTTTTTTAAACCATTTCTCCAACAGTAAGTATAAAGCTTCAGTTGTTGGTCACTGCAGTGATACTGMTACTCACATCTGTCACCATTTCAGTTTGATGATCATTCTACGGTATATCCACTTGAAACAGGGTCTTCTACTCTATTTCTCTTTTTTATACCAGTGATTTCCTATACTGTGATTTCCTACCATTTAGTAAAAACTTTATAAACACTTTACTAATGTGAATTCACAACGTGCTGCTCCTTTAAACTCAGGAAGATTTTTGACTACCCAAGAAAGGTTTGGACATTACTGACATATTTTTAACACTGTTACGGTACAAATTACAAAGAAATTTTGTATCTGGAAAGAAGCACTGTACTTAGACAGCTCTAAATCTGGAACAGTCTGGAACAGCAATACTGGCCTCACAGGATCAGTTGCTGATCTGCTGTCACAAACCTGGGATCAAGATTAAATTCTAGGCTTGAAAGACTTCTTCAGCAGAAAGCTGCCTGCAGACAGCTTTCTATTACAGATAGCTAMTTCTGTCTCTTCCTCATGCCCTATATGCATGTTGCAAGCAAACGTTGCATGTTCTTAACCCCAGGAAAGGCCTGGCAGATAGTCTCTAGACTATGTGCCACAACAACGAACTTTGTATGTTCTAGTGACCTATTGGGACACTCTGAAGCGCAGGTGGCAAAGGACAGGTCCCCTGCCTGAGAAATTCAGATTTGCCTTATGCACCAGTGTTCAATTTTAGCTTGTGTTTTAATGTATTAAAAAAAAAAAAAAAAANAAAAAAAAAAGGCAAGACCAAGGATTTCCATAATGCTTTTTTAAAAGCTTTCTTTTACATTGTATTCCATAGATTCGGCTGCCTCTTGTTTCCATGGCAACTGGATTGGAAAGGCTGCTGAGAGCCAGACCTAACAGTTACGAGTTCTCCCCGCAAAACTTCAGTTTAGAATTGTGAGCTAAAATATGTAATWGAGAGCTTTAGAAAGAAGCTGGCTTATTTTAAAAGAATTTTCCACCTTGAATCTGTAAGATTATAAACAAGTGTAAGAGAAGCAAATAGCACACAGCAAAGAATCACAGTTACGGATCCTGCCTCCTCCGCCTTCCCTTTCTGAAACCAACCCTCACATCAAAGTTGTTACAATTGCTTAAACAGCCAAGTTAGGGTTAGTCTTTGAGTTGTTTTTCGTTCTTAGGGTGTCTGTGTTAAGATAACACAAACATTGTAGACGCATAATAAAAACCTGTTTCATTTGTGGCAACAGGCACTGCAACTATTCTGACAATTAAATTACCTTTTTTTACTAGTATTTTAATAGACTAAAACCATTTACATTGAAGTTTAAACCATCGGTTTTAATTTAAATAATGTTTTTTTCTTCTTTGTTCCTGATCATTTATTTCCTGTATTACCTGTTTGGATAAGTTTGACAGTTCCAAAAACATTTAAACAACACATGGCAGCTAGACCCAAGCTCAGTTGTGCTAACCTATTTTAAAAGAAATGATACAAATGAGGCTTAGCAATCAGAAAGCCCCTGTGATGATAAGTATCATTTGCCAAGTATAAACTGTTCATTTTGGAAGGTAAAAAGATGTTTTGCTAAAAACAGTAAATTTTGAGAGCAACAATGCGAGCTATCATCCTGGAGAGCAAAAGCTCTTTCGCTACATTTTCAGTTGCGAGTTCAATTTGGATCTGTATCAGTTCCATTTTTACTTTAGCATTTAATATGAAATAACTTTAATTATCTTTCATTATGAAACATTTTAAAAACAGGCATAAGTCTGAAAAACACCAGTACTGAAGTTTGGAAACACACTAACACACTCAGGATTTGAACTATTGCACTTAAAATCCTATGAAATTACTAGTACTTATTAATTATATAAAATTTTACATAGAAATTATTATTACAGAGGAAAGCATTTTATGAGATTTCTACATAATAAGTCACTTAAAATATTCATATTACTAGCATGACAGAACGTTGTAAAAATAAGTTACTATGCAATTCATTTTTTTTAGATAAGCAAATRGATTTTTTTCATGAGCTTTTTTTTCCATATTATTGCCATCCTCCACATACTAATAATTCAAGGTTAGTCTGCATTTAAATGAAATATTTTTAAAACATCCTGCCATCTGTAAAAATGTCAAGTTCTGTTGTTTTTAAAGAAGAGTGACTAAATTAGCAGCACTTCGCAGTACCGTCATTTTGACAACAGCAAACAGCTAAGAGAGAATGTCAGAAGCAACAGCAATGCATACTTGAGTGATGAAGATAATCTTGTGGAGCTGAATAAGAATCTGCTGAACAGGGTCACTGATCTGACGCACCTTCCTTTGTGACACAGCAATTCCTGACGATGCTGTAGACGACAACACTAAAATCAGGAGAGCTCATTTTGTTGCCTGTTTGTGTTAGTAACAGCTACTGTTTACAAACTGTAGATGAATATATTGAATTTTAATGCATGACTTGTTTTTCCAATAGTGTTGGGAACAAAAAAAAAGAATAACCTGGAAACTTAAAAAGATTAGGTAGTGTAATTAATGTCTTTCAAAAGAAAGTATCTGTCCCAAGTTCTGTACGCTAACTTTCTCTATCAGAAAGAGAAGAAGCATTGATGTTCCTTGCTAATAATACATTTTCCACACTTATTCATATGTAAAACTGAAGATACTATAGATATGGTAGAAAACTAAAGATAGGATAAACCAATTTTTGTCCACACATATRATAATTTTTAATATTTTAAGCAAGAAATGGGAATTACAATACAATGTCTTATGTGGACAATCTAGAAAACCTTTTTATCAAAATATCCTTTCACTTGCCTTTAGTAACATTTTTTTAGTAACTTTTTTTCCTACTATCTACCAACAAGAAGCTTGAGAGAAAGTCCAAGATTTCTGCCATGGAAAATTTAGGATTTGTGCCTTTTGTGAGAAAATCTCCCCTACCASAGATCATATCTAAAGAATGAGAATGAAATGTATTAATGGAAGATATGCAAAGACCCACCATAAGCATTCTCTATGATCGGAACAAAATCACTGTAAAGTGCATTAAGTGGTATTTTTAATGCTTAAAATGAAAAATCAACACTAAGCAAAGTAATGCTGTGGAAAATACACACATACTCTTCTGTGTGTTCTCATCCCCCACAASGAAAGAATAGAGGCAACTGCTCTTTATTACAGACTGTACTTTGCTTTCACTTGTAAACTCCATAAAAGAAGTACTGTGCTGATCTATGAATATAAAGGACCAGCTGGTTTTAAAAATTTTAAATGCAAAGCTAGTTAGATAATGATAGAAAAATGCATGAGGTTAAGCAAACCACAGATATGAACATCAATCCAATTACCACATATATACGCAGGTAATGAGCTATGCACATTACATATACAGTACATATAATGAAATTTTTATGCACCTCACGGCATATAAATTTAGCCTGTTTCAAGAAAAATGAAAGACTTGGCAAATACAGAAATTGCATGTTTTGTCAGGCTTGAAAAAATATTCTCTCTGACAATAAAATTCCAGATATAGCAATTTTCTAAGCATTATCATTTCAAGTAGACTTGTACACTAGACAGCTTAGAAGAGAACCATTCATCGACAAGGATGAGATGAAGAAGTTGGAGAACTGACAATAAGGAAATACAGSTGCCTTGAGAAAATAATGTTCCTGTGAGATATTTCTATTTTTTTCTAAAACAGATACTCAAAGTAATTTTTCATTTTTTGTAGCACTGCATTTGAACATTTCCTTTAGCTATTGTTTAACAACAMACAAATGCAGGTACCCACCTAAACTGCCATTCTAGTGCTTAGCCATATAATTGTGTAAACAAAGGTGAACTTTGCTAACAAGCATCAGTCATATCCGTATTAGAATGACATTGCATTTTGTACTACAAACTCTAAAGTAAAAAACAGTCCGTTTGGAATTGAAAGAAAAAATAATACATTATGATTTTGGAATTAAAAATATTGCAGTATATCAGCACTTTGGCTACTTCATTTAATTTTTGCTGATTTTATTTAGGTAAGTGTGAAAGACAGCAGGATAATGATAATAATTATCATAACAAGGAGCAAAAAAAAGCTGATTTTTTGTATTTCATTTTGTGAAAACTGTAAGTAAATGTAAATCTAAATCTTTTCCTCTGAAGCTAGAATATTATTTTCTATCTAGCAAATCCATGCATAGAATGTATATTCTTCATTAATAAAAGCACTGCAAAGGAAGTCATGCATGAATAAAAGCTATACTTTTCTTTCAGCATAATAAATTTAATGCCACAATGGTTATAGTCTTTTCATACTGCTTTGTGTAAAAAAGAAATAAAAGAAAATATAGCAGTTAAATGAAAATATTTAGTTCTTGGTATGCAAGTGTATCTTCGCATGATAATCAATGTTGAAAGTGCAAGTATATTTCCTCTGTAGAGCTACTGTCTAGGACCTGCCATAAACCTCCATTTAATCCAAGATACGATCTTAGTCAACAAGACAAGTCATATACACTGTCAGTCCCAGAGACTAAATATGAACTTATCAGCAGATTGCCACTACCAAACAGTTATCACTGAAGAACACTGGGTAACAAAATTATTTTTCCAATGGGAGCATTAAGCCTGGAAGCTAGATCCATGTATTGAACTTCAGCTAGCAATCCTGTATCTCTCTTTAATTCATTCATCTCTAAGTTATTTTTTACAGGCTCATTTAGATCCATATTTTAAAATTTCTTCAGTAACAACATAAAGATTGTAAAGTCTTACGTGCACATTTACATCCATTTTCTTTCTTTCTCTTTTTTTTTTTTTTTTCTTAAGTGATCTGGTAACAAGAATGAAAATTCCTCTGAGAAGCAAAGGAAACGCAAACACCAAAATTAATTGGCCTCCAACAGAACTAGCATTCTGTCCTGCATTTTATCCTGTTGAATTTCCCCACTGACATCCTTAACAGGAGGTAGACTTGTTACAGACTTATACAGAGCTGTATCTTTTTAGACAATACCATTATTTTTCAGATTGTGAAAATGAGGTGGAAGGCTATGTTTATTTTCAATTAAAGTTTGATTGTTGAAACCGCAAAATTACCTGGCCGTCTTGATCCCAGGCCTCCAATGTAGTCTCTATTAAAAGAAACAAAAACAGGTAACAGTCATTTTAACTGTACTTTGGCTTTGAAGACAGTAGCAGTAGTAAATTTTCCTTAACTCCTTCTCAACCATTGCTGATGGTTGAGTGAGGGACAGAGATGTGCTGACTTCCACACTCGAGCACTAGGAGGCTGCTGTTATTAAKTCAGGTCTGTGGCTGGAAAGTTGCAGACTGGATGGTGACATGTCGAGAAGAAATTCAAAAGAAAAAATAAAAGACTTGGTTTTAAAGGGCCAGAAAAAGTTTCAATAGTAGAAGCAGAAGGGGACATACAGAAACTGGCAGGATTGAAGGTATGGCTATAGAAATGTTTCTTGCAGAAGGGTCCTGAATGGGCATTTCAAAGGCGAGGATGCATTTCTCAAAGGCAGAGAAGATTCTGCATCCATGATAGATAGCCCTGTGAACCTGAGCAAAAGTTTTAAGTGCATATTGATAGAAAAGGCTATGGTATCTTAAGAGATACCATACAAGATTGAGAAAGAGATGGTATCTTACTTTGCACAATAAGGAATAAATGTATGCTTAAATCAAAAGATATTTCACCTAACTGAAGGACTGAGTAGTAAAACCAGGAAATTCTGCAATATTTTTCCTATACAACTAAAACTTTTCAATAGAATACCCTGCATTTCGTAAGTTGCCAGGTAGGCAAAAAAAAAAAAAAAAAAAAAAAAAAAAAAGTCTGCCACAGTTAGACATATCCTGGCTGCAAGGTCTTAGATATGCACGTATATGTGAATGCTCAGATCTCAAGGTGGTCAAGGTGGGTATTATCTTCTACAATGATAAAAACAGGAAGCAATGGTTGAGACTTCAGGTACTGGCAATTATGACTTGCAGTTGTGTAGAAGCCAAATGTACTGTCACACAGCCATACAGAGATCTTAGACAGAAACGTCAAAATTAAACATGGACAGAAGACAACACATTTGGTCTATAGAGCTAAAATCGTTATTTTAATCAAAGGTAGATGAATATGTACATGTGAAACTTTGATAAAAAAGAATATAGAAGAGAATTAGTAATAAAGCTACACACAACATCCAGAGGAAATTAGAAGGACAGATAAAAAAATATCCTTCAAAAAAGMTGTTTAAGAATAGTTTCTTAAGAAGGAGAATCAAGGCAAGTCAAAAGACACCATGACTTCAAGATGAAGAAAATGCTAATGGTAAAGAGCAGATCAAGAAAATGAAGCACTATGACTTGGAAGAGTTCATTTGAAAGTTCAGCTGTTTCAGGTATACTCCTTGCAAAAACCTAAATCAAAACAAAGTCTACAGAGGAAATGAATTAGGGCAGTTAATATAAGTAATTGAGTTACAGGAGAGAAGAAAGAAAAAAAAATCTGAAGATAGATGAAACCCAGGGCAATTTTTCTTTTTTTTGCGGATAAGAAAACCAGGAATGAAGATATGAACAGAAGAGAGCGCCTATGAATAAGAGTGAGGCCAAAGACAGAAAAAGTAATGGGTAGTAAAAAATGTGTTAGATGCACATCTGAGTTAATGACAGAAGAAAAAGGAAAGCACTTGAGAAAGAGAATGCGGATGATGATGTCATAATTTCTGTTTTGTTTCCTTTTTTTGAGAAAATGAGCAGGGCTTCAGAATTCCCAAAACAGGTATCTAAGTTTACATAGGAGGTTTAGAGCAGTTCAAAGAGATATTATTTTACATTATCAAATATACAAAGCTATTTTTCTATGGAAAAATAACTGACTACAATTACAAAAATAGAATTATCTTACYAACTTACGTAACAGGATTCGCTTTTAAAACTGTATCATTTTGACAGTAATCTTTAAATKATGTGCATAAAGCTTTTGCACGAAGGCATTCTCAAAGAATATTCCCACAGGCTGAGGCAAAATAAATTTGTAAAGAAAAGTAAGGAAATTCCACAAGTGTTTCATGCAGGCAGTCTTGCAACTGTTCCCTCTACAGAAATTGATCATATTGATGGCAATTTACGAAATCTATATTAAAATCAGAGATCATACRTACCTAATCTGATGTTGTCTTTCAGAAGCACTACAACTTGGTTTAATTATGCCTGAAACAAAGGTACAAATGTTATAAATTTCTACATTAAAAATATGACATATATATAAAATATACTCACATTCTGTAATCTCAATTTCCCAGATATTTTGCCAAAATAACTTTTGAAAAGGAGCAGTAAATATAAACTTCCAGACATGAGCACTCCAAAAGCACATTTGAAAGTGGAGTTGCTTTCTAATACGTTGATGATCGGCTTGCATCTTAATTGAAGTCTCAACCACGCCTGGAGTTTTATTATTTCTTTCCGAATACCACAGAAACTAACATAACATGCTGAACTTATGTCCACAGAAGATGTATATGGGCTAGCACTGAAATAAATACTTCAGTTACTGCTACCAATGTAATCACAACAACATCCTCAGATGGATAAAAAGTTCACACAGAAGACTTTTGCTGTYTGGTCTAAACTCTGCTGTGTCAAAGCTTTACTGTCATCCTTTGAATTAGCTAGTTTTTTTTAAGCAGCCACATATTTAATCTCACTGATTTTAAGACCTAAAAGATAGATGTAGGACCACTTCCAGTCAACAATAAAACTAAACTTAAGCATTTATTATGTTTATTGCATAGTGCCACAAAATGTAAAGAAGGAGTGGTAAAAATTTGAAGAGGAGCGCCATTAAATATTCCCATAAAACAATTCCTTTATCAGCAATTTTGCCTTATGTATGAGATGGTATCTTACTTTGCACAATAAGGAATAAATGTATGCTTAAATCAAAAGATATTTAACCTAACTGAAGGACTGAGTAGTAAAACCAGGAAATTCTGCAATAWTTTTCCTATACAACAAAAACTTTTCAATAGAATACCCCGCATCTCTCTCTGCATAAGCTGTTCCTTAGGAACAGCTGTTCTTAGCTGTTCCTAAGATCTGATGCACCTAATCACTCAAAAACTAGCAGGGAAAAAAATTATATGTCAAACTCTCCCTAATTCTCCCACTGTTGGTATAATASTTACAATAGTCCTAAAGCAACAGTAGAGGAATTTCAGAGATGGTCCAGCCTTCAGAAATGAATATTTTTTGAAGAATGTTAAATCTTTGCTTTGTGTTCAAACACACTTTTAATGCACTGAAATATAGTACTGCTATTTTTCCCTACTTTTTAGAGATTTKCTGATTTGAATGAAAGGATTCTGAAGGAGGAAGGCAACAGCCGCATTAAAGCCACATAGAAATCTAAAGGAAATGACAGACCTTTTATTTAAGCCCAACCTGCCAGGGGAAAGAGAAAGAGGGGGAGAAGGAGGAAAAGAGAGTAAAGGACCAAGACAAAGAGAGAAAGAGCACAGGAAAGGGAGATCACAAAGACATAAGGCTTCCATACTTTAATCTTCACTTTCAATCCACACTTCAACAAGTCTTTCATTTATAGAATAACACGTAAGCTAATCTCTTATACAAGTACATACTTCAAACAACTTTAACACTCGGGGGACACTTAGTATCCACYGTCTATAAAGCAAAGAAGCAATTTGTAAAGAAAAATTATGATTGTGTTTACCCAAGTAAGAAATACTTGACCTGCAGAGGATGCAGGCACAAATGCTACTATATAGAGTAAAAGCTCTGGCTGAACCTCAATCACGTTACTTGGGATAAGAATTTTGAGCTGAGGCACTCTGATATAACCACATTTGATCTGCAAATCTGCTTGCTTATGAGTATATTTGTAACTGCATAATATTTCACACCAAAGAGTCTGCCTCACCAGTCACTGTACATAGCAGATGTGTAATAAGGGTTATTCTCTGACTCATACACCAAGATTAGGAAAATACTTATTAATTAAAAAAAAAAAAGAGACAGAGCTTCATTAAACAATGGCCAACATCCTTTAGCTCTCTTTTTAAAGCTTAATATTATGTTAGAGACCCACTGAGCACTACAATTGACACAGAAGTCTCTTTATGCTGGACATTGTGAAAATGCATTGTAATAATTTCTTTAATAACTTAGTATGAGTAGATTCAGACATCTAAAAATCTTTGTTGGAAACAAAACATACACAAATACATTGAACACTCATGACATTAGCTATAGTCAGCCCAGTGTCTTATCTGGACTACATTTCATTTTACCACGGTTACTCCTTTGATATAGATGGGAAGGACAAAGCAATCTATGCTTCTTTTAAATGTCATGCTAGTGGCAATTTCCCAGTTCGACATAATCTCATGGAAAATCAAGTATGGGTGATCTGTGTCTTTTTGGTTGTGTGCYCTGTCCTGTTGGAGAGCGAGGACCAAAGCTAAAGCTTTTGATTCTCATGCCACTCCCCTGCTCTGAATATCCATATGAGGATTCTACAAGGACATTTAAAAAGCTGAATTAAGCATCAGGATTTTTTTTATGATTACTACTTTGGTCTTCAATAGCTGATGTAATTAAATAAATTCTAGAGCTTTAACATTGCAACATGCATTGACATCAGTGCAAATCAAACAAATTCATTCTAAAATACAGTTTAGTATTTTTTCATGCAGGCATCAAGTCATCTACCTATGTATGTTCACACCATGTAATTTTAAGAAAGGAGGTTTTAACATGACATGAGTTCAGAAGAACTTGGCAAGATGGATAGTTTTGCTGTGGCTTTGACTTCAGTGAATCTAAAAAAACTCTGTAAACCATTGAGAGGAAAATTGAATGAAGATTTCCTATTAACAGAAAACTTAAAGCAATGTTCCTGAGTGAAACAATGGCAGTGATTATTTTGTTGTTGTTTTGATTTTTTTTTTTTTTTTTTTTTTTTTTTTTTTTTTTGAATTATGGCTCAAAGATCTTGTGAGGAGAAAGGTCAAATGGCCTTTATTTATATGAAATGCACGTGGTAAACTGCCCTTTAAATCACTGTGAACTAGAATGGACAGCACCAAACACGTTAATAAAGCTGGTTTGCAGAATAAACAAGATTTAGTTCTTTGCTCATTAGCAATGACCACATGGGCAGCGAAGGAAATTGCAGCGACAGAAATAAGCACAGTTTAAGCTTAAGTCCTGCAGTATACTGGAAAGTCAGATCTTAGTAGATTTTATTCTAGCAGAACTCCTCAACAATCAAAGCCTATAAAAACAGAGATCTCAAAAAGCCAGCTGCCACAGTAACCTTCTGTCCCCATTAGACCCAAGGTCTCAGGAGAAACCTAGATCTTAGACAAAGGCAGTCTTTGAGAACCAAGTTAGCAAAAAACTTTAAGATCACTAAAATTCTCCACAGGCAGCTCTTGTGCACATAATGGGCTTCTTGAGGCAATAATCATATTGAACAAATTTCTTAAGCATTTCCCTAGCAATCTAGGGAACCATATGTAGCAGATGCAAGAAGCTCTTTCCCTTAAGACTTACCAAACCAAGTCTTACTTAAAGAAGAAGTATTCTCAGATCATCAAACCTGCCACAGAATACCACATTCTGAATGCAAGCTGAATTTGCAAGAGAAAAGGTAGCTGTCTGCAATTAAATGTAAATTTCTGAATGAAATGATGCGCTCTGCAGAGCAGACACTGCAGTATCTCACAGCACAGCAAGTGACCATCTCCACAGCACAGGAGGTAATTTGTCATGTTGATGACATGAAGGAAAAATTGTTCTTAAACTTCTTCCTTTCTCTCATATTACTTTCTGTCCCTGGTTCTGACTTTAATGCTTAGGGGATAATAAAATTGTTAAGCCCTGCAAATGACAGGTCAAAATCCATCTGCTTCCTTTTTTTTCTCCTTGTACAAGCATTAACTGTGGCAGTTACTTCTAGCAGAGAGGCTCTTAATTAGTATCAGTGCAGATACCACATGTAGAACTTTGCTCCTGTGGGATTAATAAAGTCTAGAGTATTTAAAATTCTAAGCAAGATAATTTCAATTTGCATGAACATCTACCCTAAATCTACATATGCTGCATTTGGCAGTTGTTAAAAGAGTTGGTCTTGAAGAACCGTATTGGCTAGATTAAGAACCATATGCCTCTTCTTAAAAGAGAAATAGAAAGCATGGAACAAGTAAAATCATTAAGAATATTATGCCAATTAGTGGACTATAATCAAGCTAACCTCTAACACACTGTCACTTACCTGCATAACAGTTTCTGTGCCATTAAACAAGTGTCACACACCTTTTATCACAAAATAACAACTTTATTAGATTCAAATATATTTTTCCACACTATTTTCTTTGAAAGGGATATTGTGATGGCAGCACAAGTAGACAAGCCCTTTTAAAACCCTGATCAAGACAATTGTAACTTAAACTCAAATTTTCATATTAGTTGTTTCCAAGATAATGAGATGAAAACTGATCATATTTTCCCTGTCATGCTGACCTGTTCAACAAAACCATGACTGACMCCTCCTACAGAGTTAGTCATTTATCAGCAATGGAGCATAACCCAAGCAATACCTAAGAAACCCTGATTTCATAGTAATTTTTTAAAAATTTATCTTTTTCCCTTAAAAGAAGAAAAATTTGTTAACATTAATTACAACTAATATGGAGCATTAACTCCACCATTTAGTGGAAACTAAGTGTCATCTATGAATGCATGGCTCTACAATTATTTCTTCTGGAAAAGCAACACAGCTGCTAAACTGTTTGCCAGGAGGAAAATGTGCAACCACTTCTGGAAATTGATTAAAGTAACCGATCAAGTTCATGGGATTAATAGGAACTGCTTAGATCTTTCTAGTTACAGCATTTTATTAAATCAATAGAAATGTGGAAAAAAGCTATTAGCTATTTAACTATATTTAAATATTAGATGATTTTTATTGATGTCCAAATCTTAACAAAGAAAAATGAACAGCAAAGAAATGATTACCAAGAATGCTTTTGGGTGAGAAAGTATTTTCCTTGTCTTTGTATGATGCTGAGCTAGCACCATATTTAATTCCTGGAGGACATGAAATGCGCTCTTCTTTAAAATATATACCAAACCASATCAGCCCCTCTGATGGCTGCTGATCCACGAGAGTTTTTCTGTGTAATCTCTTCCCTGTACCTGACTTTGTTGCCTTGTTTAGCCTTCTCCTGTCACTCTCTCAGCACTTTACAAGAAAAGCTCCGTAATAATTGAGGGCTGGCTAGACCCAGGCCCTCCGGCCTTCCTAATGGAAAGCTATCCAGTTACAATTAGTAGAAGATATTAATGGACTTTAAGGAGAAATACTGAATCATTTATTTGCCCTGTGCTAACGGCTAGACAGTTCAATTAAAACTAGTCATATTTCCTTGTTACTTGGACCAAAATTTGCCATAAATGCAGATAGCAAATAGCAATGCAAATAGATAAAACTGCTATTTCTTGTTTTTTGAGGCTTGGGATCTTSTAACACTAAGATTTGCTGACAGTTACAGTCCTTCACCTTTGAAAAAGACTGCATGCTTTCAAAAGCATTCACAAATCATCTGTCAGAACTTAATGGGAGGAATAGAAGTCTCAAATTTTATTTGGCTCCAATATCAGTCTTTTTCTAACAGGGAATGCCGTTAGCTTCTCTTCTAATCAGAAAGACATCCCCAGTTAAAGAAAACTAAAASAACTGTGCCTCGATGGTACCAGGCAGTAACCACTGAACTCCTTCACTTTTAAGAAAACTTACCAAGAWCAGACTCTTTCACAGGACTTGTACTGGAACTGCTTGAGTTGTCTAATATATCCAGCTCATCATCGAGTTCAGAGAACACATCTGCATACAAAAATCAAGCAAAGRAACTTTTAATCCAACTCTGAGTGCATAAAAGTACTCTTGATGCTTCTTTTGCTAATGACTACCTTTTTCAGAGTTGTCTAAAGTGTTGYTATCCTCTGTCAGGACTTCTCTGTATGTTCTGCCTTCAACTTTTCCACACAGAGATTGACAACCTCCAGACGGGATGTCAGCGTTTTCTGAGCATTCATGTTTGCAACTTGTTGTTCCACTGCTGCTGCTGCTATGAAGACTCAGCTTCTCATGATGTCCCTGACAACAAAAAAAAAAAAAAACCAAACAAAAAATGGGGTTATCCAGTATTCATTAGATAATCTACAAATGAAAGATTCATTTGTATAYACACGCACGTAAACCTGGAGGCATCAACTTTTAATTCCCAATTAACTGTTTGTATCAGGTCCAGCAAATGATTCTAAATTTAGAGCAAAAACTTTCCAATATTTATTTAAACAAATTATTTCTAGTTTTCATGTAAAAAGTACAATACGTGCTGAAAAAGAAAATAAATTAAAAAAGAAAAAGAAAGAAAAAGAGAAAGAAAAAAGGAACAAAAAAAAAAAAGAAAAAAAAATGAGAGAGGAAAAAAAAAAGGTGGGGACAAAAAAGTGCCACACCAGAAAGGAATGGCAAGCAACACAAAAATTAAAGACTGGACAAAGATGTAATTAACAGCTGACAAGAGTTCTGCACAACACAAAGCCTGCACAACAATCGWTATGTCAATAAGATATGAAGCAGGCTCAATATGTGATGCTAGAGAGATTCCCTGAGCTAAACTGACCGCATGCTGACTGGCACTATCAAAACACAGATAAATAAATGAAACATGGAATATAAATTATTTGGTTGTCTCAAGGCTCTCATTAAAGTGCTGAATCGCCTCTGCAGCAAGTTGCTCTTATTGAGCATAAAATTCTGCCTCTCCTGCTATCACTGTCTATAGCTTTTCTAGAAAGAATAAAGATCACTGATCCCTGTTATGCCTCTATTCTAATGCAATGTATTTTGAAGGCAGACTGKTTTTATGATCTCTTTATATATTGTTCCAAATCATTTCATATTATTGCTGTTGCGCGTAAATAAATTCATTTTTCATTCTACTGTATCTTGTCAAAGTGAAGTCTGATAAAAGTGAACAGAAGATAAATCATGCAGACATAATAGATTAATGTTAAAATAATTTCAGAGGATAATTTGTTCCAAAATCCTTATACTCTTTTAGCAAACATGTTGAAGACTATTCAGCCTGCAACTAAGCCCAAGTCTTCCTCAGTCCCAATACTGGGCAGAGATGTTAAAACAGCAGTGGTTGCAGTGTAGCACAGTGTGGCAAGCTCTATGGGCATCTTGTATGGGCATCTATGCACCAGTTAATACACAGCTATTGACGATAAGCAAAGCAAAGCAAGAGTAGAATCAAAATGTACTGCCATAAAATAAAAGTTTGTCTTTTGGAAGAGGCTGGAGTGTGAGTTCAAAGCCATTTCTGCCCAATTTTGGATTGGGAGCAGTAGGACATATAAAGAATACTGTTTTGTGACCAGAGAGTGGAGAATGTGTTCTCCAACACCTTAACACAACACTTTCCATMGACAGGAAGACATATCCATAGACTTTGAATAAATATATTAAACAGTGAGGTATGGAAATCATGGAAAACATTTCCAACATTTMAACATGAGTTAGATGGATATAACTGATTGATTTAAATTGAGCTCCTAACTGACTCTGGAGTCCACTACTTCACAAGTCTTGTGTCTGGACTTGTGTCCAGAAAAGTTTGTTTTGTTATAATGAGTCTCAGTTTCCCCATGGGCAGACTGTTTACCACCTCTGATAAAACAAAGTCTACCTTCTAGTGTAAATAAAAGAAATCCARGAGAAACAAGTCCCTGTGCAAGAATCTTCTCATAAAGATCCAATTAAACTTTTGTTTACCTGATTTCATCTTTATGATAGAGCAAAGGCATCTGTGGAAACATAAATACCTGTGTTGCAACTGAAAAGCAAAGCCTCTAAGAGCTGAGATGTTTCATCTATATCCCATGCACTTTCACTATCTCTGTTTCCACTGCTCATCATTATCACTGTCAAATCAGATGTACTGTATTTTTAGACAAGTGAAATCTGTACTAGAAATTGGTCTTTTCCATTTCCATCAAGAACTTAAATCTTCTACAAATCAAAACACTATTTTTAATTAAAATACAGATACTTAGTTAAGGTCTATTTTGCCACATTTCAGTCCAAATAAATTAATTTTTCTCTAAGAAATACAGAGCTCTATAATAGTATTCAGGAAAAAAAGAAATTTTAATTAAACTTCTTTATTAAAGACAAGTAAATGCAGTGTTACACTAATCAAAATTTAGATATCCCCTTGTTCATCAAAAGGGATGAAGTGGAGGAAGGGATGTATTCATACATCCATCTGTTATTTCCTGGAATATTTCATCCATAATATGGTGCATAATGCTGTGTCAGGCATACAAAGCTGGACCAACATTTTCTGAAAGCATCAGACTCATTGCAACTACAGTATATCACACAGTGCATAAATGTGCTATGGATATGCCCAGGATTTTCAGTTYTCAGGTCTCCTCAGAGTTTTCCAGATAATATATTTGAATGTAAAAACAAGCAAACAAAAARGAGGTCTTCAGACATGTGATAGCTGAAAGTAAAGAGTTTTTCTTCTACATGGATTTCAAACTGTTCCTTGACTTGGGGTAGTCTGTCTGGGGAGAGCACAGAACTGCACAAACTATTTCAAGTCTGGTCAGGCTCTTCACTTTAGACACMCTCCTGCATGAAGATACTGCTTCTATCACCATTTTACCTTATCTACCTCCGCATAACAGGGAACTGCACCTGAATATTTAAATATAAAATGTGGATTTAAATATAAAATGTGAATTCAGGGGACAATATTAATATAAAGAATGAAAATAAGCTTAACTTCCTAAAGAACTGAACASTATAAAATCCTGCTACATGGAAAGAATGGGATAGAGCAGGTGTGCCAAATGCACAAATTAGCCTTCGGGGAGATACAGAGGCTACTCTCAGAGACTAGTTTAAAAGTGGGCAGACATGGCAGACTACCTATRTGATCAGAATAGTAGCAGGTACAAAGAGCTCAGATTTTGTTACATATTTTTACATATAGATTCTGATATAAAGTTTATGATTTCCTATCCCACATTCAAAGCATGTAGCTGATCTTGGTATTCATCACACTATATTGTTCTAGAGGGGAACTGAATATTTTGAAGGAAAACATAATTTGCAGTACAAACTCAAGGTGTGTTTTTGGTATATTGATACTGTAAGTTAAAAAAAACAGGCATTCTGAAAAAGGTTTTCCTAGTTATATGACAAGAATTATGTGAAAATACTTGCTTCTCAAAGGCTTCTAAGTATTAATCCTAAGGTGAAAAGCCTCAGGACATATGCAGTAAGTGAAAAAAAAAAAAAAGGATGATCATGGAATCATGCAATCAAATATCTATTTCGACGGTAGTAAAAGTGACTTATTTCGAGTTTTTTGTACAAAGCCAAAATAATGTCTATACTTTTCAAATCTAGATACCTGAAGCAAAGCAATGGAATCCATACAAAGTTGCCCAATCAAATCTTTAAAGGAAATACTAAAAATATATTTTGACTTTTAGCTAAAACAACTACTGTTTTAGGACTCAGATTTGGCTTAAAACCCAGAATGCCAATGGTCTTGTTGGTGACCTGGCACAAACTACCTTTTCTCTCTTCACCATTTTCCRTTCACAGCATGAAAATACAATATTGATTACCTTGAAATGAAAGGTACTATGGATGAAGTACAATTATTACTGTGTGCCCTAAGCACTCTATGATATGTCAGCAAACTAACTTTCAGGACACCACTGCTATTAAACACCATGCTTACATTTCTTTCTGTTCTCATTTGGAAAAAAAAAAAAAAAAAAAAAAAAGCAATTCCTATGGAAAGCAATGGAGGATAACAATTTAGGAAAGGAGGTGACACCAATTATTTTTACTAGGATTATTCTCAAGAATAGATACTATGCTATACTTGCCAGGTGATATAACAACATTTTCCTGATATTTCCTGATACTATCTTGTCCTTCAGGTTGCCAGTTCATCATTACCTGTTTACAAAGCAGACTCCACTCTGGCTCCAAAAGATCTATGCCACATAGTTCGGTAAACCTGGACAGAAGGTGCGCTCTTTATTTGAGCAACATTCACAACATGACAACATGACACAGCTGGGATGAAAAAGATGACCTCGGCACATCTCAGTAGAGAGAAAATGAAGTATAAGATAAGTAGCTTCAACGGAACTTTGAGCTACATGGCAGAAATGCTGAGTTTTCTGACACTGTGGAAAAATGACAAATTACCTGGCTTTGGAATCACTGAGGCCGTGACTAAGATGAATGAGGTTGTCCACACCTCATAGAGTTTTCATTTCAAGAACAGCTGCTTGAAATTCTTAATATTTGTAGTCAGAATATTGGGGGGGGAGTTTCTTCAAAAGTTAAAACTTTTCAGGAGTAGTTGGTCTTTTTATTAGAAAACCTTCAACTTCATAAATCTTTCCTGCAATGCTAAGAAAGAGACCTTCTATTTGTAAGCTCCTCCTATTTGCAAATCCTGCAGTACTCTCTTGAAATCTGGGACATCCTAACCTGATTTCTTATTCTATCAGATTTACAGCAAGAACACGCAATCAGGTCTCTCAATTCTCCACACAGAGTCATATTCCTTCAACTTCAGTGGTATCCTGGATCTTTCTCAGACCTTCTTTTTGAACCTGTTTCATTCTACATGCATAATAAAATATCTGTTGGAGTTGAACCAGAATTACAGTATTTCTTCCTTCGGAAGATTAGCTATTATTCCATAAATTACAGAGCTATTTTCCTTCTCTTTGCAAAGACTAGTGTATTTTTTAAGTCTTTGTATAAAAGAGAAGTGCTCTAACTTCAAGGTACAACTAATGTATCATAATAAAGGCTATTTAAAGGCTTACAAGGGTTTGGATAGGGCACTCTCTTCTTGAAGAATAACTGCACTGAAATACTAAATCAAGTAGAGCAGCAAAATAAACAGTTCAGTTTTGCACAGTAGGTGTTTTTACAAAATTGATCAGAGTTATGCATGAGAATGACTATATCAAGATATGAAAAATGTTATACAACCAGCTTTCAAGTGTAGGATAAGAAAATTCTAAACATATGTAAAATGGCTTTTGATACTTGTTTATTTAAGCCATAATCCTATCCTATACCTTCCCTCCATTTCAGTACCTCTCATATTTCAAATYACAGTGGTTTACTGATTTTTAGGGGAAGCTGTTCACATCCTTTTTATGAAAAACAGAACAGAATGAAACAGTAATATGTCATCACTGAAAACAGATAATGTTCTTGGACTGCTAGTTTGAAATCCTAAGAAGAAAAGTGATTAATTTCTACACGCCTTGTAGAAGGCATGTGAAGACAAATAAGTAAACTAAAAACTCTGCAAGTTTAAAACTTTTTTTAAAAATTTCCATGGTGTCATAAAAAGAATGACAATCTTTTTCTTACAGGCTGATGCCTTTCTTAGACATATCTTCTCAGAGACAATATAGAAGTTTGCTTTATTATGTAAAATACTGATGTCCTTCATGAGGCGTGTTTGACAGCCTCACAGCCTGAAGCAATAGAAAACATTGTAGTATTTCTGCAGGATGGCATCAGACAGTAAGAAAGCCTTAGCAAATACATTATCAGCATCGCTGCTTTTTATATACCAACCTGTAATTAAAAGTTATATTTGTGTTGGTTCCATTTTCTCAGTGCCACTGCTGGTGAATCAAGACTATCCATTTGTTCCACTCTAGCCAAGTGTACATTCTCCTATTCACTAACCCTTCACAAATGCAATTAGATGTTATCAGAGGATATCAAAATTGCAAGTCTCTCCACAATAATCTCATTTTCCAACATATGATGATACAAATTTTTAAGATAATTGTTATTTTTCCTGCTTGAGTGTGTCTGAAGAGAATGAATGAATACCTAGTTAAAAATAGAGTCTGCATTTGAAATTGTTCTAAGTTCTAATTGTTCTTTTCATTTTGCTTTATTTTCTGCTTTGCTGAACTTTATGTTCCCAGATATGACACAATGTGTAAGGGGAAAAAAAAAAAAGAAAAGGAAAAAAGAAGACAAATACATTCACTTACTTGTGATAAATGGGAAAGCTGATGGTGGTAAGTCATTGCATTTCGATTAGCCTCCATGAAGTACCTCTGGGTGCGTATCCTCTCCCGATCCAGTTTCTTCTCCAGCATGAGATGGGAAGTGGATAAAATATCCAAATATTTCATCATCACCTCAGATATCAGTGAGCTGACCTCCACTATGTCTGGACGTGCTTCTGCATCGGGAGTTAAGCACCTAGAGAAAGAACCATCCTTGGATAAAATGTAATTACTTTTTTTCTAGTAATTTCCTTTTTTGTTGTTTTTTACTCTTTTACTATCACTGCATTCATTCAACGGTGTTCATCAAGTCATGTCAATTAGCACTTGGGACAAAGCAGCAATATGTCAGAGCAACAATTTTAAGTTCTTACAAGGACTCAAAAATTACAAATGGATATACTTTCAGGAATGCACAAATACTTTTATGCAAAAAGACCAATTGATTAACATCTACTGACTTTAGAAACGCTATTGCCAAAGTCGTCATAGTRAGAAATTTATCGAACAGCCTTTTCCCATTCGAGATGACAGTGAGCAGAGGAAGCTAAAGCAAACATCGCAGGTCTCACAGCAGATGCTGAAGCAGATCCACAAAGGGGCCCAGAATCTCAACTCAAGCCTGAATGGGATTGCTCAGCACTGCACGTGTTGGTGCTGACCCACCACAGAGCACAGTGCCCAGCACCAACGTCCCGTCCCATCAGATGCATCAGCAGCTGCTGTGCAGGGCTAAGGCTGCAGTGTGAGACAGCAGCCTCGCCCGTGGCAGCTGAGCTCTTCTCGAGGCTCTGAGCAATTACAGGGGAGCTGAATGCACTGTCAGAAAACACRTACAAGAGACTGTAGCAAAAAGACTTTGCAGCCTCAAGAGCCCAGGAGGACAATTTTCACTACCACAGGGCCCTCTTTGAGGAGCATGGACTACTGATCAGGGACAGAGTCTATCTGATGAAATAGGGCAAGAAAATCATTGTCAAGAAACTTACTAATTTTGTGAGGAAGACATTAAGCTAGGTATACCAAGGGAACGTTAGCAAAATACAAAGAGAARTGGAAGTAAATGGGGTGGTAAGAGGTTGTTTGTGGCACGCTATGTTGGAGGAGGCTATAGTGAAAGTAAAACAAAGTACAACTTGGTTTCTATTTCAAGGGCTTGTGTGTAAATGCACACAGCATGAAAAACAGTAAAAGGAATTAGAAGTCCATGCACAGTTGCAGAGCTGGGTTGTTAGACGTAGTGGGATTTCAATGCTGCGACAGATAGAGTGGTAAGGCAAGAGGCAATAGACACATGCTGGAACATGGCAAAGTCCAAGCAGATGTAAGGATTATTATTTTATCTTGTTTTCTCACCTATTTCACCTAGTTGTCCACAGCCAGCTGAACGTGAGCCAGTGGTGGGCACAGGTAGCCAGGAAGGCCATCAGCATCTGGCTTCTATCAGGGACAGCGCAGCCACCAGGACTACACTGTGTGCTGGCAAGGCCGCACCTCAAATACTGCTCGGTTTTGGGCCCCTCACTACAAGGAGGACATGGAGGGGCTGGAGCGTGTCCAGAGAAGGGTATCAAAGCTGGTGAAGAGGCTGGAGCACAGGCTTTATGAGGAGAGGCTGAGGGAGCTGGGTTATTTAGTCTGGAGGAGACTCAGGGGAGACCTTATCATCTCTACAGCTACCTGAAAGGAGGTTGCAGTGAGGCGGAGGCCAGTCTCTTCTCCAAAATAACTACCGACAGGACAAGAGGAAATGGCCTCAAGCTGCACCAGGGGATGTTCAGGTTAGACATTAGGAAGAATTTTGACATGGAAAGAGTGGTGAAGCGTTGGAACAGGCTGCCCTAGGAYGTCATGGAGTCACCGTCTCTGTCAGCATTCAAGAAATGTGTAGGTAAGGCATTTAGGGACAAGGTTTAACAGGAATAGTGTTAAAGGGTTTACGGTTTGACTCGATGATCTTAAAGGTCTTTTCCAACCATAACGATTCTATGATTCGAAAGTGGTCAAGTATTTGAAGAGGACTCGGAAACACTGTGGACTCCAATTTCAGCCCAGATGTCCCACAGGACCAGTGCTTCACTGTGCTGCCGGGGTGAAGGGATACTCACTCGAGAGTGGGGGACTCTAGGTGTCTCTTTGCTCTAGATGTCCTTGCTGGAGCAAGGATGTTGGGCTAGATGATCTCTAGAGGTCCCTTCCAACCTTAACCATTCTGTGATTCTGTGATTCTCCATCCGTGGATATATTTAGAACTCAACTAGACAAAGCCCTGAGAAGTCCGGCCTAATTGGATCTGCTTTGAGAAAGGTCTGGACTAGGTTAACTCCAGAAGTCCCTTCTAATCCAAATTATTCAGTAGCTCCTGTTTCAGACACTCTAGGTTGATGTCTAGTAACAATAACAATATTAGGTCAATATTTAAATCTCTAGAATATTTGGGATGCAGGTTAAGGCATGAAATCTGAAACAGGTGGTTATTCATGTACTATAAGCTGTTTTAAATCTGTTAACTCCAGTGGGTTTGACAATTTGCTATGATTTCCCTGCAGAATAATATTGATCACCTATCGTACTGTCTATCATAACACTTGACCCAAAATCCTTTTTAAAAGGAGGTGACACAGAATCACTTTATTATTTCTAAAACAGTACTTTTTAAATAAACACTACCTCCATGTAAAGCAGCAGTTCTGAAAGCATGTTTTTCATCATTATAACTTCTTGATTTTAATCTCTTTTTACAGGCAATTGCTCAAATCTATTACGATTCRTCTCATTATCATAATTGTGTTAATCTGTTTTAATTAAGCTTTCATATTTCCTTTAAAAAGATGGGTTTTTTTGCCCTAAGAAATGCTCCACTTATTTCTCTTTTTAATTCTTGACTTTAATTCCAYTGAAATTAGTTAGAATTTTTAAGAATCATGTGAACTGTAAAAGATTGCTGATAGAGCCTTAATCCATTTTCCAAGTCTAGAAAGAAATGATTTGTGACTCATCACTGAACAGACTGATGCTCAATTCTGAATGACTTTTGCTGATTATGATTTCAAAACCTTCTTTAGTAGCTTAATCCACTGAAACTAATCTAATATACTGAATGCAAATTTCCAGTTGCAACATGTTTTTTGTTGCAACTGGAACTTTTTATGTTTTTCCTAATCTTTATTAACAAGAGAAAATAGRTTTTTTTTCTATTTATGGCATTCCTCTTTGAATAGGTATTGTGCTTCAATCCTTATTCAGAAATGAACTTCTTCACTTCTTTCCTTTGATGTTCTTAATTTTGTCTAAATGTCTCTTGAAGCATGAGCCAAAAAAAAAAAAAAAAGCCATTTCAATTAATATTTCAGATTAACCAACAGGCACCATATTATTTTATGTTTCCCACTGCAACTAAAGTAGGCAGGGTAAAGCTTATGTGATTGAGAATTTTAACTTTTCGTGCAAATATCTACTTAATCTGCTATTTAAACCATGCTGACTATCAGTAAAAGGATGACAATAAAATGGCAGCCAGTTTGATAATGATAGAGGGGCTTTTGGTGAAACTATTTAATACAGCAATAATATCTGTAATTTTAATACAGCAATAATATCTGCAATTATAATGGATAATCAATAGCTGGCCTTCTACCAATGAAATACTTTATTTTATGGAGTTTGTCATCACTGTCAAGAATGAAGAGCGATGAGGAAAAGAAAGGCTAGAACATCTGGATGAGTTTATCCAACTTTACTGATAAACATCAATTTCAAAATTTGTGAAGATAATGCAATAAATATCAGTTCTGGTATGACATGACACATGACACAAAGATATTTTCTGTATAGATTTGGGATGACTATRTTACTCTTAAATGTGTAGCAGCAGAGCAGTGAATGACTAAAGCCAGCTATTCTGCTGGTGAAAGAGAATGTATCATGTCTGTTATCAAAATGCTATTTTGAAAATACTGTTTGTACTGTTTTCAGTCTCTTTTTATAAATAGAATGCTAGGTGTAGCATTAGTCAGCTAATGCTACAGAGATCAGAAATATACTTATTTCAAAATTCTTCAAAATCAAAGACAAATACCTGTAAATATTTGAAATGACTCAATTACAGAAACTTTGAAACTTAAACATTTATTCTATTTGTTTCTATCCTCTCTAGTGACTTTTTTCAGTTTCAAGGTCTTGGATAACTGAACCTTTTCATAGTGTAAGAGATACAGAAATTCTATAGTCTTTGCATGGGAAAGTGTTTTTTTTAGAGATGGAATTCCACATTTGAGTGAGAAAGGAAAAAGATTTTTCTTCTAAGTTGAGTCTCTCTAAAATGGACAAGCTAAGCTGTTACAGAAGTGCACCAACTCACATTCTATAATTTGCCTTATGTGCTACATTTTCAGTAGGAAGAAATCTGTAATTATAGCAAAGAGAAAATATGATGATATAATGGCTGAGCAGAAAAAATACAGACTCATCTTTTCCCTTGTCATTGTGTTCTCTCTGCTTTGTTAGCATGTTTAGAAGTAGTGAGAAATGTATTTCTAACAATCAAATAAAAGCACAAAACGATGAATATGATCATATAGTGAACTATAGAAAACACACTGCAACAGTTGACCACAACCTGCACTCAAAAAAGTCTCCAAATGCTGTAATTTAATGAGAACAACATAGTTTTATGTGTAGTGGATTAACTGTAGCAGTGGTAGGGATAAACACCTTAGAAGTTTGTATAAACCCATACCTGTTGCCTAAACATATTGACTCTACTGGCATGTAACTGTTAGGCTTCTCTGTACTAACTGCATGTTATCAGCAGGGTGGGCAGATAGCACTATTTTCCACTAAATTAGGAGACATTGCATATTCAGAGATAAATACTGATGGTTGCTAAAGTCAATAAATTGTCACGTCATTACCAGAAACAAACAAAACACTCTTTTGGCAACATGTTGAAATAAGACGAAATGAGTAATTACCTTTTAATAGTAACTGACACTTTTTCAGAGTACACTCCTTCTGGCACAGGTTCATACACAGCCCCTACTATCTGCAAAATCAATAATCTACAGTTAATCAAAGAAAATACATTCCATATGAATTTTCAAGTACCACATAGCAACTTTTTCTTGGAATAACCTGAAATGCATTAAATCATCAACTTTATCTTGCAAGGCAATGTCTCTTCTTATTGGGTAGTCACATTAATGTATATGAACACTGTAGAGGAAGGGCATGCAACAGCTAAACAAGAGAAATGTTCACTAGCAGAAATGATATTTTCATTGGTGATCATCTTCTAAGATGGGAGGAATAAACAACCCTTTAGCAAATGCAATATTATAGCACTTCAACAACTTTCTTATATCTAAAATTCCCATCTCCAAATGTATACAAATGTGATAAAAATGTGCTAGTATTGAAAGTAATCATACATTATTATCAGCAAGCTATTTTTGTGATTATAATGACAACAGTTCATACAGTGATAAATATTTCTGCTCATTTGCATATCTGAAGCACCAAGCAGTTTGTGCTTCTATAATATTACATATGAATTCTTGTGAATCCAATGAACAATGCAGAAATAATTCAGTATGTTCATCTAGCAAATCCAAATACCTTAGTTGCCAAGGAGAGCATATTGGTGCTGTAGAATGGTGGGTTCAGGGTTGCCATCTGATAAAGGATGCATCCTGCAGCCCAGACATCAGCCTTCTCTCCATACGGCTCACTCTTTACAACTTCAGGGCTAAAAAAAAAAAAAAAAAAAAAAGCAAGGTAATCCGTAAGTGTTTAATTAATGTTTTTCACCTGGATGTAGGCTGAATGAAAAACAAAACAAAAAACTCCAGTTAGTGTCTAACTACTGCAAATTCTCTGGGCATATGCAACTACTTCCAAAAATTTCCTTTCCCTGCTAAACTCTGTAAGTGAATTCTTCAGAATTATTGTCTTCAAATGAGCTAGCACATTCACAATTTGCTTCTGAAAATGCATTTCAATAAAATGGACTAAAGAATGGTGAAATATATCACATCCTCTTGTAATTCAAATATCRAAACGGTTTGGATCACATTCCTTTATTTAGAACACTAAAGACAAGGGCTTTGCTGCTAATGTGAAAAAAATGCTCTCAATATCATTTTTTGCTGTGAAAACTGCTGTCCTGCACTGCGTATGCTGACATCCCTGATGATACTGCATAGACACTCATAGCCTAATGACAATTAAAAACATATATTGCAAAGTTCCATTTAAAGCAAATGAAAGAAGGTAGTAATTTCAGTTGTGACTCAACATGAAACAGACTTCCTTTCCTTAATTTTCTCAGCATCCATCATAAACTTTGATGGCAATAATTTATATTAAGAGGGACAGCCTGATGCTGGACTTCAAATCTTAGCAGATTTAAAACAAAGGCTGTTTACTTGGAGATTTAGTTTATTTAAATAATAATAATAAAGAGAACACTTCATTTCTTTCATCTGTAAAATCAACTTGAAGCCATTCTTATTTTCCGTTTGCTATCAGCTCAGAAATTGGAAATACAGAATCAACTTTTGACATTGTCATCTTTGGTAAAATATTCTATTTTCGAGTGTTGTACTGTATAAATTCGATTACTGGTGTGTTCTAAACAAAGTATTTTACCAGAAGGTATAATGGTATGTACAAAATAAATACAGAAATTTAAAATAAATGGGATGAGGTCCCTTAGATAAACTATTTTGCTGAGATATTTAAATTAACAGATTAGAAAATTATACCTGAAATCACAGCATGGGGAAATGAGAGAGATTGACAAGGGCAGACCTTTCTGATAAAATGCATCAAGCAAGAGAGAGATTTCTGGGTGAAGTCTATTTAGCAATTTCCCTTGAATTTCCTGCTGCTGTTACCATCCAGTATTTGGAACATGATGCTAAAACAGAGTATCATTTCTGTAATTGGACTGTCATTATTCCTCTCTGAGACACCAGGGACTTTGTCAAAAATTCATTTTCATTTATTAAATGCAGCTATTAGTATGTCACTTAGCGTGTAGATGGTAAGCTCAATAAGGTAAAAGTTTCTATCTTAGTAAAGTTCTGACTATACTGATACTCCATAAAAATCAGTCTATGACTCAGGCTTTACAACCTTTCTAGTGACCATTTTCATGGACAAAGACCTATAAAGTTACAAATTACTATTTTCAGATGAGTAAAAAATAGGAAAATAAACTGAGATTACTCATGCCAAATGGACGCAACTGCAAAAAGTGCAAAGCTGTGTAAGAGTCACTGAAAGAATAAACAGAAGACAACAGGACTTTTAAAGGTCATATTTTACACAAAATTTCATATATACGCATAAAGTTAATGAAGTAATTTGGTCTACTGGTTTATAGCGAAAGACTTTTTATTCCAAATACAAACTTAATCCATTTKCTTTTCCAAAAGGAGGATCTGTAGCAGAGTACTACCTGATCCAGAATAAGTGTCTGTATTCAGAAGTCAGTTTCTAATATTTTGAGCATTAGGATGAGTCCTGCCTCACACTGAAGTAGTAGTGTGTATTAATAAAGTAATATTTATCTTGGGTAATTGTTTTATAGAGAATTCACATTGTTTTATAGAGAATCTGTATTATCCTTATATGATAATATATGCTTTCAGGAGAAAGAAAAAATGTGTAGTTTACATTTTTAAATAGAATTTCTGAATATTACTTATTTATTCCAAAAAAAGCCAAGTAGTGAAATCCCTCATCTTGCTCTGCAGGCATTCCTAGCCATCTGCTAGTTAGAAAGGTGGGTGGGTTACAGTGCTTGTCGACTAGCAAAACCATTTTGCAGTTGAGTTGCATCTTTGGGCTCCGTGCCGTTGAGGGAGGCCAAGCAGAGAAAGGGCCCAGTTTTGTTCCCGTCCCCTGCTGCCCACAGAACAGCAGGGCCGTGGGAGGACGTGCAGCCTGTGCAACTCGCTTGACAACAGAGCATAAATTGTCACTGTCTGGTTAAGTCCAGGAGGAATGAGTAAAACCAAACCTTGAATTTTATTCCATAAAAATCCTACAAAATCAGTCTTAGCCACACATACAGGAAAGTAACTTAAGGGGATAGTGTCGATATTACATAGTGTTGTTCCGTGTTACTGTAAAAGCTTCTTCCTTTAGTTCTTATTTGGGGAAAAAAGAGCAGTAGCACTGATAAGATTTCTAGCAAACAGACATCCATATCACAAAAAGAGTTGATAGTTGCATTTCCATTGCTCTCAGGCAGGGTTGATCAAACTGCTGAGAAGCAGCAATGCAGATGTTATATTTTATGATATTCACAGTCTTGGATAGTGGAGGCACCAGCTATGTCGGGGGGGGAAGGAGAAATGTTTTGTTTTGTAAATAATCATTTGGTTCTTACAGCTGATGTATCGAGGATTATCACTGCAGTTTTCTCCTAGGTTTACAAATCACTGCTCATTTCCAAATTACAAATTCAGCTGAAAAAACTTAACGACAGTGGCATTATGTTAGCTATAGGAGGCTCCTTCACTGAACAAATGTCWATAGCAAAAGCAAAGCTGAATTCTTCCAGGCAAAGGACACGGAAATATATCCCCAGCACTATTCACTGTAGCTTTTGTTGAAGCTTCAATTTTGGCTTGRCTGAGCATACACTCAAGAGATCTCAGTATAACTTAGGAAGCTTTGTCTTATCAGTACCTCAAAAATCTGTCCAGAAGGTGGGATCTACTTACATTTTCCATGTTCCCAAAGCACAGCAAGGTTGGAGGGAACACCACTTCCAGTCTTGACATTTACATAAACAGTTAACAGAGAGACAGTTCACTGTTTTCTCTCTTCTATCATAAAATCATACAACAATTCAGGATGGAGGTCTCTAGTTCAATCTTTGCTTCTAAGTTAGGTCAACTATGAGATTGGAACAGATTACCTTTGATTTATCTAGTCACATCTTGCAAAGCTGCAGAGATCGTACAAGCTCCTCAACAGTCCATTTCTATATTTGTCTGTCCTAATGGAGTTTTTTTTTAATATCAAGTCAGAAGCTCCCTTGTTTTAATGAATGTCCTTCTTTTATTTAGAACCAGGTCTAGACCATGAAATTTAGACCAAAGACTGAGAAGGATCAAGGGGAGGCTTGAATATGAGCACCTTTTTTAAAGTTTAAATGAACCAAATGCCTCATTCCCACTCATATGACAGACCATGCACTTTATTTAATTTCAGTAGAATATGATGATTGGAGAGCRTTATTTAAAAGAAAACAAAATAAAACCCTACTCTATAATCAGTTCTCTGTTTGAATCACAGAAAGAAAATGTATTTGAAAAGCAGAAATAAAAATCTTCTCACCATTAGCATCACCCCAAAGCAAAAAATACAAAATACAGAAAATAGTTTCTTCTGGATAGCTTATGGTGAGCTACTAATACTCATTTGATATTATAGCATCATAATTACTATGAAAAGCATTGAAAAAGGAGGAGCAGGAGCCACAAAACAGCTTGAATGAAGGGTTTCTGTGAACATTACTAAAAACTCTTTGCATTTCTCACCTACAGAATTCACCACAAACCTTTTGGGRATATTCTGTCTATTCCTTGAGTGATGAAGCTGGAAAAGGATTTTCCATGACTAGTTAGATACCTAGCCTTCTCTTTTAGCCTAGTTTTCTACTTTGAGATGTATTGTGAAGATCTTTATAATGTAATTTGTTAGTCTACTAACCTGCACCTACTTTTCTCATTAGAAATTACGTTAAATATTTCTTTTTGTAAAACATGACATACAGATTTTATTCTTATTAAAAGAAACACTTTCAAACACCCTCTGCAGCCCATTAGAAAAAAATAATAATTTCCATTGATTTTTAAAATGCATGGGGGCAGGGAGTTTATTACCCTTAGTAATAAATCCTCATGCCACGAGGTAGGGAATGTAATTTTATAATGACTGAAGTCAGCTGGGAGAGATAACTTTCTCATACATAATAACTCATACATAATTCCCAACAGCATAATCTCCTGCACAGAAATTTCCTCTCCATTTAATTTAGTCTATGAAAAGCAAAAAAAAATTAAAAAAAAAAACCCCAAAATTGTCTGATGTCAATAAGCAACAATCAACTAATGACTGTAGGATATATACAGATTATATAACAATGCATCTTTTTAGTTTTTATTGAACTTTTTCTTCCAAAAGTACCTGTTCTGATATGGAAGGGAACTTAACACCAAAAATGGCAATAAACTTCTGCACAGACTGTCGCAAACTCAAATGTTAATGAGCACTGAAAAATTTGTATAAAACAAGAATCTTTAATCAGTAATAAATGATTAATAACCCACACCACTGATATTTCCTCACATCTGCACTGTCATTGAACAAAAATCTACAGAATAACAAACCTAATGGATTTTTTTCAGCACATATTCAATTTCTGCCTATTAGAAACAGTTGCACATGTTTTGCACTCTAGCTTTTGGKTTTGATTTTGCAATTTTGGAAATAAAGGTACAGACGTTGAGTTAACATTCAACTAGTAATTTGCATTTCCTTGAATTTACAGAACATTAAGCTAATATTATACTTAATTGCTTGCAGATGCCAAGTACATCAACTGGAAAATAATTTATGGGCTTTAACACTGTAGTTAGACAGTGTTCTAGAATATATGAAGAATGACTGCAATTCCCTTCTGATAAATACACCCATGTCACATTCTAGTACTAATTAGGTTACATT